GAGCATATAGATGCATTTCACTGCATGGTTAGAAGAGATCATTACAAGGTTTCAAATTTCAAGGAAAATTCAAAGCTCACAGAAAAGCCAGAGTGGTCATAAGACAAAGGGGTAAAGAAGTAAATGAGGAAATAATAAGCTGGTATTTATTATGACTACTAAAGAGAAACAGAAGATGGATTATATCCAGTGTCTTTAATAGATTCATGAAACAATTAAAACATCAGATGTGAAAAAGCTAGGAAGGCAGGAACAAAGATTCCAGATAAGATAGAGACCTTTATGAAGTCTGAAACAAGTTTGAAATAACACTGACACAACTGAAGTCAAACACACAAGAAAAACACAGCAACAGGTGTGATGACAGTGAAAAGTATTTACCTCGCTGTCTCTCCTACTTAGTGCACCACCTTGCTTAAACTCAGTGAATGTTCACTGATGATTACTGCTGAAAGAAAAAAGACAGAATAGATCAAGGGAAGACAACCAGCGAAGGGAAAAAACACAAAATTGAAAAACCACTTCTAAAAGATGAACTAGGATTGCTCAGTAGAGCTGATTCGCAATACTGTCCAAAGATTTATAACAATCGGTCAAAAAAGAAAAAAAGGAATTTTCTCTAGTTCTGGCCATTCATCTCTCTCCTCCGTCAAAATCATTATTTAAAACTTAACACTTCCATATATCTTCCTGTATTAGCCTCCTTTGATTCAAGGATTTCAATCATTCAAATAATCTGCCTTATTCTATTCATATAACTACAAGTTATTAACTGTTACAGAACCTGTATTTTTTTCTGGCAAAGCACTTGGCACAGTTATTTCAGTTGCTTGTCTGTCTACTCAGATAAACTATAAGATTTTGAGAGGACTATAGCCAACTCAGTCTTGCATGTCTTGCAACAGAATATGGGACAACTGGTAGACAATAAATACTTGTTGATTGAATAAATAAGTAAATGAAGGCTATATATGTTCTATGTGATTGTGGGTTTTGTTTTTTTTTTCAACCTCATCACTAGCTAATAGATTCTAAGTTGTTCTAGGGGCAATCATCTAATCTCAGAATATAGCCATAATATTCTCCGGTACTTAAAATTATATACAGCTTAGTTCACTGATATGAAAATCCTAAAAATTCAGAGATAAATCAGATCAAGGAAATTAAATGAAATCAGTAGAAAGAGCCAAGAAAATATAATCCCAGGGTAAGAAATAATTAACAGAAGTAGGCTGTATATATTGCACATATATATCAATAAGAAGCGCAATTTACTAATGATCACAAGGTAGGAATCTGTTAATATGTAGTGAACATTAGTAAGTTTATGAGCGGGCAAGTACTAAAGTGATAAATTGAGTAAGAATGTGATTTTTTTTGCTATCACTACAACAAAGGGTCTCAAATCTCTGCTATATTTATATCTACATCTATATCTATATCTAACTCTAGACAGAGTATCTGATGAATCATCTTAAAATCAAATATTTAATGGATGCCTACTCTGCTTATGTTAGAATCTGATGACACAGGAATTACGAGGTTTTTGCCCATGTTTTTAATTTATTTACAGCTCAACAAACATTTGGGTTTGGTTTCATTTTTTCTAATTCAGTAGTCTGTGGCTTTCATTTGCTCTGTTTAGAAATTCCTAAAATACTACCATAAATTCTTACTGTTCTAATATCAAAACTGAGCAACAAATATTTCATCATTAATACTAACAACAATAGCTAATCTTCACTGAGTACTTACTACTTTCAGACACCGTTATCTCATTTAATCCTCACAACAAATCTATGAAGGAGATACTATTATTATCTCTATTTTATAGAGGAAGAAACCAAGGCACAGAGATTAACTTAAAGTGTTCACATAACCAGTAAGAGGCAGAACCTGGATTCAAACCTACGTGTTTGACTCCAGCATCCATGCTCTTAACCATTATGCTAACATAGTTTATATTTCTGCTACATTAGTTTTCTATAAATGAATAAGTTACCTTCTTAAAATAAAATAGTGAGAAACAAGCCTATACACTCACATCATTAGAAATCCAGAGAATGCAGCAAGAAAGCTGGTGCTTAGTTTCTCTGAGACGTGTTCCTGCCCCCAGACAGCTTATGATACAATTAGGAAATTACAACAGGCATCTGAAGTGTGTAACAATACCTTGTGGGATCAGATGAGTACAAATGGGGAGTACACCCAGGACTGCTATGAAAGTTGAGAGAAGGGAGTAATTTCTAAGGACCTGGCCATCATAAAAGACTTGATGGAAGAGATAGGTCTTAAAGGAGAAATAAAACTGACAGGATGAGGAAAAGAGCTATGGTATCATAAGCAAGAAGAACAAAATTATGGATGAAGTACCAAGAAAATATCCAATTATTTAAAGGTTTTATGTATGAAGATAATAGGTGATAAGGTTGGAAAACTAGGATCATACTGGGGAGGTAACTGAATGCCAGATTAAGGAGGTAAGTCTTTATTCTCTAGACCTGCTCTGTTCAGTAAAGCAGTCCTTAGTTAGATGTGGCTATTGAGCACTTTAAATGTGGCTAATCCAAATTGAGGTGAGCTGTACACATAAAATACAGACAAGCTTTTGAATACTTAGCATGAAAAAAGGATGTAAAACACCTCATTAATAATTTTTATATTGATTACATTTTGAAATGATCCATACTCTCTGGATATACTGGGTTAAATAAATATATTATTAAAATCCATTTCACCTGTTTCTTTTTTACTCTCCTAACGTGGCTACTAGGAAATTTAAAATCACATATGTGGTTTGCTTTTGTGGTTTACAATGTATTTCTACTGGACAGCAGTGCTCTAGAAAATGAGAAAATAAAGGAACATTAATGGGGAAGGATTCATGTAAAAAGTGCTTAAAGAAGTTTATTCTGGTATAAATAGAGACAAATTCAGATTGTAAGACAACTGATCTGTCTTTTCAATAAGCCAATGACAGAAAAAGGGGAAAAAAAACCAAGGTAGTAGTCGAGAATTGGGACTGTTATAGCTTAAAAGATATTTAAGAGACAGACCAACCAAGTACCATGTGCAGACTTTGAATGCTGATTCAAGCAAACTGACCATAAAAAGACATTTCTTAGACAACTAGGGAAATATAATTAAGGACTAAGTTGGATAACATCAATGAATTGTTGATCATTTTGATGGAATAATGACACTATGGAGATGAAAGAAATAGTTGCAAACTAAAGTATGCTTTACTGATGCAAACTAAAGTATGCTTTAGGGATGAAAACTAAAGTATGTTGATATGAAATGACAGAACACTTGGGATTTGCTGGGGACAAAAAAAAAGTGTTACCTCCTTCTAAATACAAACAAACAAACAAATAAATACAAATATAGAAAGTAAATTGAGAAAATTGAGGTACAGTGATTAGAGTTTTCTGAATTTTGCTCAAAAAAGGAAAAAAACACAATACCTTAATGGCATCATTAATCAAAATAAAGTGCTTTGGCTATAAAAACTGGAGGATCTGAGCATAACTGTCCATAAAAAGGAGTATGCAGGGAAAGGAAAAAGGAAAGTTTGAGGGCTAGAAAAGTTCAAAGGGGTGCCATTCTGTAGAGGAAGGTTTTCAGAATAATACTTAATTTTTTGGTTTTAGGTATCCTTAGGGCCACACAGAAGGTATGTTGGAATCAGGACCAAAAATCAGATCCTCTGAGTGTGATGCTTGTTGTGTCTGCTATTAAACCTGACAAAATCCTATGGAGAATCTAATCCATATTTTTCCTTTTAGATTTTCAAAATTTCCTGTATCATTCAGTTATTTTTTATAGTTCAGACCACTATAAAATAATTTACCATATCAAAATATCTTATTTAATGTGCTTAGGGTTTGTCTTGACTGCTTCTCAAATTGAGATTTGGTGGAAGAAAGATTTAAAAAAAAAAAAAGAAGAAAGCAACTCTAAGTGGTAACAACATCAAAACTACCTTAACATTTCCAAGTGAAACCCATATTATGCTGCCGAGAAATGAGACGCATTTTTCACCTCTATGTACAATGCAAGCAAGAGTGGTCAATATAAGGTAAGCAGAACAGAGATTTGACGATAGAAAGGAGCAACAGGACGAATGAAAAGGAGAGGGAAGATGACAAAAGTTGACAACAACAAAAAACTAAGTGCCCATTCGGAGTGCCCAGGAACTGCCTCAAAGCGAGCATTTTATTCTGCTTTTTCTGTAAGGTTGAAAGCAAGCATAGCTGCCCTGAGAATATATAGACTTGCTAAGACTTGCTGTTCTGCTTCTATCTAGTTAGCTATTTGGCCTTGATCCTTGGTTTGTTTTCTCATCTACAAAATGGCAATAATAACATCTGCCTTACTTGCTTCACTGGATTGAAGAGAAAGTGAAGAGAGGTTGTAAATGTGAAAGGACTTTGAAAAGTTTTCATTCTTTAAGGCAGTTAAGATCTAAAAGAAATAATTAAGTTGAACATCTTTTCCAGGAAAACTATTAAAACTGAAACAGAAAAACTTTACTCAGCATAGGTTTTAGTTCTCTTAGCATGTGACCATTCGAAGGGAAGTGTAGGGACAAGGGAGAAATCAGGTCTCCTCATCTGTCTCACCTTCTTCTCCCCCATCCCAGTATTCACCCCACCCCCACCCCCATCCCGCGCCAGAGTAGTACGTTCGTCAACCACAAAAGGATTGGGAGCAGCGCTGCGAAGGGAAGCCGGAGGAAGCTTTGAAGGGAGGCCGAGGAAGCCCAGGGGGTGGGGTGCTCGCTGAGTAAGAGGAAAGGAGCGTGGGTCGGGGAGCCACGACAGGAACGAGTTAGAATGAGGCGAAGGATCCCTTTTTCCACAGCTTGGGCACTTACTGCTGGCAAACTCCTTGGAAGCGGCGACTGGTTACCATAACGACCGCGTCCAAGAGGGCGGAGTGGCGCGGCGCTTCCGATAGGTGCCTCAGCCACAACGGCTCGACTAGAAACGTGATTACGTCAGAGCAGCGACTTCCGGCGGAAGCTGAAGCCGGCTCCGAGGTTTGGCAGAGGATAAGCAAGGAGTTGACGCCGATGGCTCTTCGAAGTTTGGTAAGTATGATATCGAGTGAAGCCAGGAGAGGGTACCCGCCTGTAGCTGGGCGACAGAGCCGACTGTGAATACAGTGGGCTTCCGGGTCCCAATTTTGAGGAAGCCCCGGCTGTCTCGTTAAGCTGTCGGCTGTGGGAAGAGGTTGCCTGGGTCCAGAGCTCCGGGCGGGGTCTTCCGTCGCCTGGAGGGCTGGCGTGTCCTCCAGTGAACAGTTTCAGGAGCTCTTTCTTTGGGAGGCCTGAGTGCCTCTCCAATGTTCAGGAGACTCTTGCTACCAGCTGACTGGCTGTTTCGCTTGTTATTCTTTTAAGGTAATTTGGAAGAAAAGTGAATTGGAAAAATTAAGAGGGAGTGCTCCCAGATTCACTTTAATTCTTTGATATTTTGCTTTGCTTTTAAAAAATATTTATTCATTTTGTAAACATATATACAACTCTTGTAGTGTGTTTAGTGAGTACTTAACTGTGTTCTGTTTTTCGCAGAAATACCTTTCTTAGAGGATCATCCACTGTCGGGTTTATTATTGAATTCTATTTTTAAATACTGATGTGTATTCATTAACATGTAAGCATATATCATGAAACATCTAACAGGTTTTCTATACTTGTCTATATAATTATACAGGATATTCCTGGGGCGTTCTAAATGAAAATATATGCTTCAGGTTTGCAATGTAATCATGAATCGCTCAATTAAATACCAAATAGTAAAGCAGTTACTGGTTATTTCTTAGATACACGCAGACTGTAATGAATTGTCATCAATATTTCTATTTAGCTGATCTAAGAAGGCCCACTTCTTGTTCGAGGGATGATGGCATTTGAGCAGATACCAAAAAAGGATTGGTACCGTATTCTGGGGGCAGATCCAACTGCAAGCGTGTCAGACCTAAAACAAAAATATCAAAAACTCATATTAATGGTAAGTCTTTTCTTTCAGATTCCAAATTTTGGGGGGAAAATCAGTTTTTTTATGTGGTCAGAAATTTGGGTTTCCATAAAATGAGTATATGATATCAGAGCAGGACTCAAAGTATTACTTTGGTTAATTGAAAGTTTTAGTAATATTGTTTAAAAAAAATTGATTTGAGGTGGGATAGCTTGGTGGTTTGGATCACAAATGAGTCATGCTGATTGAGTTAAAATCTTGATTCTACCACTAACCTTGAGAAGTTGGACAAATTATTTTCCCCTATATGTTCCTCATGGATTATTAAATGAAATAATCCATGTAAGACGCTTAGAAGTGTGTCATGTAATAAGCGACACTAACATCCAGTAGACACGAGGTGTGTTACACACTTGAATTTGGCTAGTCTGAAATGAGATGTGCTGTTAGTGTAAAGTATGCATTGTATTTTGAAGACTTAGTACAAAAAAAGAATATAAAATAATCTAAAATTTTCATGTTGATTAAATATTGAAATGATAATATTTTGTATATATTAACTTTTTTGTATACTTTATACATAATATATACATAAATTTGCATATATAATAAATATAATTATCAAAAACTGATTTCATGTGCTTTTTACTTTAACATTACATATGAAGTTTGCATTTATAGTTTGCATTATGTTTCTGTTGAATAATACTAATTTAGGCCAGTTAAACACTGTCCTTCATCTGACTCCACTCTTGTGAAATGAATTGTGGTACTTAGTAATAAATAGTATCTTTCTAAACTATCGTATTAATTTTTTTCAACTTATGTTGTGAGGTTTCTTAAGTCACTGTTAGTAACTATAATGGCCTCCAGTTAACTCAGTTTACAAAAGGAGTAGAGGACCATTATTTATATAGCATTAATTGTTTCTCTCGTTTTTATCAAATAGATCTATGAAATTTTGCCATTACTTAGGGTTTATTGTGAGAGACAGCAAATGTTTCACTTTCAAAAATATATTAATATCCCTGCTTTAGGTAGGAAGTTGAGCTAAATGATGTAAACTTTCTTTTGTCTCAGAATTTTAAAAATTTTTGTCAGTAAAATCAAGTAGACTTTTGAAAATTTTCCTAATACTGTATCATCCTTGTGGCTCCGTTAACTGGGAGATTAGGCTAGAAGAGTAGTTTGGGTCTGATAGATCATTGCAGGACCTTGTAGGCCATGTTGACCTTTACTTTTACAAGAATCCATGTGCGCTTGATATGGTGACATCTGTCAAACATCAAAGTACATGAACTATTTTGCATACCCTTTCATAATGTATTGGATAGTTCCAGTTGCTCTACATCTCACCAACATTTGATGCTGTTAGTTTCTTTCACTTTATTTGTTAGGGGTTTTTAAATTTTGCCACCATTGACATTTTGGGCAGGATAATTCTTTGTTATTTGGGACTGTCCTGTATATTGTAGGATGTTTAGCAGCATTCTACATGCCAGTAGTAACTAAAAATGTCTCCGGGAGGTAAAAATTGGAAACCTCCCTGCCTCATTGAGAACCACTGTGCAATTCTGTGTTTATAGTGATATTTCATGGTAGTTTTATTTTGTATTTCTCTGATGACTAATGATGTTAGCCTCATTTTAAATGTGATTTTAGTCATTTATTTTTTTTTCTTTTGTGAAGTCTGTTATTTTAAAAATTAAGTATAGTCTTGATATGTATATATATTATGTATTTTCTCCTACTCTGTGGCTTGCTAGGTCATTTTCTTAATGGTGATTTTGATGAGCAGACGTTTTTTGTTTTGGTGAAATACAATTTTTGTTTATGCTTAGTGCTTTCTGTGTCTTCTTTAAGAAGATCATGAAGCTATTCTCCTGTGTTTTCTCCTAGAAGGTTATAATTTACTTTTACCTTTAGACCTGTGATTTTTGTGTGTGGTGTGATGTAGGAAGTCATGTTTTTATTTTTCCCTCAATATGGATATCCAGTTGTTCATCATTTATTGAAAAGATTTTTCTCTCTCCATTGGATTGTCTTGGCAATATAGGTCTATTTATGGACTCTATTCTGTTTGATATATTTGTTTAGCCTTTTATTAATACCTCTGTCTTGATTACAATAGATTTATAAGCAGTTTTTAAGTCATTAAGTTTCTCTAATTTTGTCCTTTTCAAATTTATTTTAGTTATTTTAGATTGTTTCCATGTACATAGAATCTTAGAATTAGCTTGCAAATTTGTTTTTAAAATCCTGCTTGAATTTTAATTGTGATTATACTGAATATGTATCCACTTTAGCAGAATGGGCTTTTAACAATATTGAGTCTTCTAATCCATGAATATACTTTATCTCTCCATTACTTAAGTCATCTTTAATTTCTCAGAATTTTTTAGAATGTTCAGTGTAGTGTTATACATCTCTCTTTGGGTTTATTTCTAATTTTTTGACATTTTTGATTCCCTGGTAAATTTTTTCCTTTTAATTTTATTTCCTCAGTTATTTATTGATAGTATATAGACCTGTAGTTTATTTTTATATACTGATCTTGTATCCCACAGTCTTGGTAATTTGCTTTTCAGTTGTCTTATAGCTGTTTTTGTAAATTCCTTAGAATTTTCCACCAACACACTTATGCCATTTGCAAATAAAGAAAGCTTTAATTCTTTGTAATCTGTATGCATTTTATTTATTTTTCCTTCCTTAATGCACAAGTTACGTGTTTCTATTATAATGTTCAGTTAAAGTGGTGAGAGGAAATATCCTTGCCTTGTTCCTGGCTTTAGGGAGGAAACTTTCAATATTTCACTACTAAATATAATGTTAGTGTGTTTTTTAAGGTGCCCTTTGTCAGATTGGGGAAATTTTTCCTATTCCTAGCTGCTGAGAGTAATTACCATGAATAAGTATTAAATTGTTAGTTTTTTTTACATTTATTGAAGTTTGCATGTATTAATTTTCCTTCTTTAATCTGTTCATGTACTGAATTACATTGATTTTTCTTATGTTAAATTTATTTTGCATTCCTGGGATAAACAAATCTCACTTGTTGATGAAATACTATGGTTTTTATATATTGCAGGATTCTAGTTGCTGTTATCTTGTTAAGGATTTTTATGTCTAGATTCATACTGTATACTGGTGTAATTTTGTTTTCTTGTATGTCTGTGTCTAAATTTAGCATCATGGTTATGCTGGCTCCGTAAAATATTTGGGAAATGATTCCATCTTCTCTCTTTTCTGAAAAAGTTTGTGTAAGATCGCTGTTATTTCTTATTTAAGTGTTTAATAGAATTTACTAGGGAAGTCATCTGGGCCTGAGGTTTACCTTGTGGGAAGTGTTTGCAATTATGAATTTAATTATTTTTAGAGGCTATGGGGCTATTCAAATGTTACATTTCCTGTTTCATCAATATAGGTGAGTTGTATTTTTTAAGAATTTGTCCATTTTATTTAAGAAGTCTAATTTACTGTCATAATGTTCATACTATTTCCTTATTATCCTTTTATTGCTGTAAGATGTGTGGTTTTGTCTTCTCTTTCATTCTTTATATTGGTAATTTGTGTTTTCTATTTGTTTTTCCTAATGAGTCTTGCTGGAAGTTTAAATCTTTGTCAAGAACCGACTTTTACTTTGTTGATATTTTTATATTGTTTGTTTACTTCTCTTCATTTGATTTCTGCTTTTAATTTTATGATATCCTTCCTTCTACTTCCTTGCTTTTCTTTCCTAGCTTATTAATGTAGAAACATGCATTATTGATTATACCCTTGTCATCTTTTTCTTGCATACTTACATAGTCACTTAAAGCTATAAATTTTTCTCTAAGCCAGAAGCACTGCTTTAGCCACATTCCACAAATTTTGATATGTATTTTCATTATTCAGTTCAAAATATTTAAAATTTTCTCCTGTAATAGTTTTTTTTTGGCATGTGAGTTACTAGGAAGTAAATTGTTTAATTTCTAAATATTAGAAGTATTCAGATCTTTCTTTTATTGAGTTTTAATTTAATTCTGTTGTGGTTAGAGGATATACTTGGTATAATTTCATTCTTCTATATTTATTAAAACTTTTTTGTGGCCCAAGATATGGTCTATCTTAGTGAATGTTTCCATGCACTTGAATAATATGTATTCTGCTGTTGTTGGATATAGTGTTTTATAAATGTCTATTAGGTCAAGTTGATAGTGTTGTTCAAGTATTTTATATCCTTACTAATTTTTGTCATCTATTTGTTTTATCAGTTTCTGAGAGAAGGATGTTAATGTCTTCAACTGTGATTGTGGATTTGTCTATTTTTCTCTTTAATTCTATTAATATTTATTTTATTTATTTTGGGATCTTTTCTTAAATTAGGTGCATATGTTTTTTTATTTCTATGTCTTCATGAATTTGAACCTTTCATCATTATAAAATTCCCCTCTGTATATCTCATAGTACTGTTCTTGAGGTCTACTTTGGTATTTCTCTGGTCACACCAGCTTTCTTATACTTATGTTTATATGATTTATCTTCTCCCACTTTCTCACTTCCAGTCAGTCTCTTTTATGTTTAAAGGATGTTTTCTTGTATGTAACAGGTAATTGGAACCTTAAAAAAAATTTCAGTCTGTCCATCTCTGCCTTTTTATGGGGATGTTTATTCTATTTACATTTTCCCTTCAAATTTATTGAAATGTAATAGACATGATATTGGGTAAGTTTAAGGCATACAACATGACAATTTGATACACATATGTATTGTGAAATAGTTAATACAATAAGCATAGTTAGCACATCCATCACCTCACATTGTTACCTGTGTGTGGGTTTGTGTATGTATGTGTGTGTGTGTGTGTGTGTGTGTGTGTGTTGTGAGAAGATTTAAGATCTCAGCTACTTTCAAGTATGCAATACAGTATTGTTAACTGTAGTCACAATGCTGTACACTAGATCCTCAGAACTTATTTCTCTTCTAACTGGGACTTTGACCAACACCTAATTTCTCCCACTCCCTAGTTAATTTCCATTTGATATAATTATTTA